GCCAACCTCTGATATTGAAGAGATTACGGACTTCACTGGATTCCATATTCAGAGACTACGGCAAACATAGTAAACAATATATTTCATTCAACAAATTAATTGTAAATAAAAAGAAGACATTTTTAACGATTTCGAAATTAGATAAAAAACATTTTATAATCTGTTGATATAATTAAATGAGAAATTTTAATTAAAATACCTAAGAAATTTGTATTGAACGAGTATTAATTATATTCAGAGAAACATATTTATAAAGTTTATATACTTAGAGTTTTTAACTTTTATATATTAGATGCATTTATTAATATTTAGCAGGATTTGAATGTACTTTAAACTAAGTAAAAGTTTGATCGGGGTTAATCCTTTGTATTTTATTCAACAGAATCTGTAAATAATATTAAAAAAGTGTTTGGTGCTGAACATTTTTAAAAATGTTTTCGAAATTAGTCAAAAATTCTTTAAAAAAATAAATGTACGTTTGTAATAGCTTTTTGTATAATTTACCAAGAAATTGAAGTTAAAAAAAAACTAAGTGTTTTTGAATTAAATGATTATTAATTATATTCAGAAATACATATATATATATATATATATATATATATATATATATATATATATATATATATATGTGTGTGTGTGTGTGTGTGTGTGTGTGTGTGTGTCTTATATCTAGCTTTTTTCATTATTTCTTCCAAAAGGCTTACAAACAGAAATTTAATTATGGCTATCTATAGATGAATTAATACATACATTATATATATATATATATATATATATATATATATATATATATATATATATATATATATATATATATTTATATAAAAAGCACAACTGGTACGACGAAATTGATGTAGGAGCAAACTTAGAGAAAAAAAAGAGAGATAGGTGCAAACTTAGATAGATAGATAGATAGATAGATAGATAGATAGATAGATATGGCCAGACTGAGATAGATTAGAACAGAGTAATCTATCGAGAGATAGGTAAAGGCTCTGTTTGATAGGTAGAACATTGAGAACAGACTGATATAATATGATATAGTTAAAATTGAAATAGACCGAATGATAATTGTGAACAGAGTTGTATAATGAAAGTTATGAAAAAAGTGTCGTAGATAGATAGATAGATAGATAGATAGATAGATGGGAACAGGCTGGTATAGAGAGATGTAGTTGAAAATATATGCAGCTGTTGTATATATAAAGAATTAGATGTTTAGATTGTATGGAGAGGTGAGATTATAGCGACACAAATAATTGTGTCTGATGACAGGAGGCGTGCGACAGGAAAGAGTATAAAAGTATCGACAGAATGAAGTAATCGAATGGAAAAATAGAGAAAAAATAATTTATTGAAGATTGCTGACAATTTTGGACACCTTTCACCATTAAAAAGGCTGCAAAAGTCGTAAAAGCAGATGAAAGTCAGTGAATTAAAACAAGAAAGAAAAACAATATAACTAAAAAACCAGAATAATGTGCAGGCGCACAGGAAACGAAACGAATCAATCGAACAAAGGTGGTTATATATCCCAAGCGTCAGGAGACTTTTTACACACATAGACACACACGCACGCACGCACGCATGCATTCCACATTATATATATATATATATATATATATATATATATATATATATATATATATAATAAAGAAGGAAGGGAAAAAGGAGAGAGAGATTGTAGAAAACGATGAAATACAAAATTATTTGTATGCGGGATATAGGCCTATTTCAACTGACAGAAACTTCGTCAGATTTATTTAATCCCGTTGTATACACTGAGTTTGTGGCGGATTTAGAAATTTAACTGCCTAAATTTCGCAAGAAATTTTAAATAAAACTTAATCGCACTATCTTGTCAGTCATCTTTAAAGAACATGTGTAAAAGATGGATTGCTACCTAAATACACTATATATATATATATATATATATATATATATATATATATATATATATATATATATGTGTGTGTGTATTTATGGCGTGAGGATTGCGTTCACGTATTAAACAGACATCAGCCGCTTTGTGTTAATCTCTCTGTTCATTTTCATAGTTTGATTTGCTTTATCTCTGATAATGAGCACATTTGATCATAAATGTGACATACCTTAAAAATATATTTTAAATTATTTCAAATATGTCTGGTTAAATATTATCACAATGTTCTATTTATCCATGTTTTTTTAATTAAATGCTTGAAAACGAATGTAGCAACATTCATAATTATTTGAAAAAATATAAAATAAAATAAAATGAACTTCAGCAAATTTACTGATAAAAAACTTCAAATTCTGAACTTTCACTATATATATATATATATATATATATATATATATATATATATATATATATATATATATATATATTTTTTACTTTTATACATTCTTTTTTATATTTCGACACAGAGACGAGTTCGGTTAGCAAGGTCGATTTCACTGTTTTTAAACTACAATCTTCCATGAATCTCTCACGTACATTCATATCTGCTCGATTCGTATTCAAATCTAAACAAATGACGTCATACATTATGAGATGGACAAATTCCGACAATTATTTTAAGACATTTTTTATGTTTATACATTCTTTTTTTATAGATACAAATATTTAAGTAAATGCTCTGTTTTATAATAAACAGTATTAACAGCATTAACCGGCCTGAATGTCCGAAAAGGAATCGTCATATAGCCTGACGAATGCTTTTATTTCAAAAATATTTATATGTATTTAAAAAGAATGTATAAATGTATATAAATATATATATATATATATATATATATATATATATATATATATATATATATATATATTCTAACGTAATTTCTCCTCAGTAATTTTAAAATTTTAAACTTAATAGAGATTAAATTTAAATTTTAAAATTGGTAATTTTAACTTTTAATTTTAATATCAAATGTTATCATATTCATTGACCATAAAAATACACTATACATTTTTTCGTCATATATTTCCTTCAGTCGCTGTTTATGTAGATTTCGTTGTGTTCTTTAAAATTTTTCTTTTCCATTTCTCTCTTATTTACTTGTCCCGTTATAAATTCTATTTTAATATAACCCCAACTTTAAGGCTCTTAATAGCTATTATAATCTTACTTCGTTGTCAAGTTTTTTGAATTTTCCTATACTTGTGTTTTGATTGGTCATTCTTTCGTAAAAGCGTTTTCCCCTTGCGAAGGATTGTTAATTAATTTGAAACTTTTAAAACCATTTAGTTTACATTCAACATCATCACTTGTTAAGACACCGGAGGTGTTGAAACGAAATGTAATTTTTTGTAGTGATTTTATAACAGTTTTATGTTATAATGTTTAAATAAATAATTATATCTGCTCTACTCTTTATTGAGCACTCTTTTAAGAATAATAATTGTTGGTTATTGGAATTTATTCCATATAAACCAATAATATACTTATATATATATATATATATATATATATATATATATATATATATATATATATATATATGGTAGCGACCATAATATAAGGAACGGAAAAACAAAGACATAAATATGTGTATTACTTTAAATGTAATGCATGATTTACCGAATAAAGATTAGGGTGTAATGCATAAATATTATACAAACTTACAATGATTTACATGATAATTTGTTTTGTTTTTTTTTTAAAAAAATGATTAAATGGAACAAAGAAAATAAGCTACTGGACAAAAGTTATATTGGACGAAAACACGACAGCAACTAATACAGTTTTCCTATTGTCATTTATATATATATATATATATATATATATATATATATATGTGTGTGTGTGTGTGTGTGTGTGTGTGTGTGGAATGGAATCATCTATGTCTAAAAGAAATACTGATATTTGTTCAGATTTTAGACAGGCTGAGAACTCTTCAGTATTTCCTCTTCTCGGAGGTAAACATATTTTTAACGACTTAGGAAACAAAACAAGCTAGAGACAAAGAGATAAATACTGAAGTGTTACTCCTATAGTACAGTGCATGATGGGAAATCGCTTCATAAAGAAAGGTGTGTCTAGAAGCAACAGAAATGTAGTTCTACAGAAGAATGCTGAGAATACCATGCACCAAACATTTGAAGAATGGCGAAGCTTTCGAAAAAATGCAAAAAATACTGACACTTGTCGATACCATCATATAGAAACAGTTGAAATATCTATGAAAAATAATGACGACAGTGGGCGAGGCAAATCTGATACACTCAGGGCAGAGGATAACAAGCAAGCTAGAGTACATGGATGGCAGCACAATCTTTCGGTGAGATAATAAAGAAACAAAATTTATTAAGTGCTACAAAGATCAAGACATTGTGAAAAGCCATGATTATCTTCCTACTGAAAGGACACAACACACAGAAGAAGGTGAATCAAGGGGATCGGAAAATTGCAATCATATTAGGCAAGATAAATGGATATTCGAAAAATGACAATGTATTCCTGATGAAGGCAGACTCCAAATATATAAAATATGAGACGCAATTGGAATGGTCAACCCTTCTACTAAGCATCCTTTCAGAGCGATAATTATATGCATGTTTAAATGTGTATTCCATGATCGATTGTTTTGGAAGTAAATACATATGTGTGTACTTGCATTCTCCTGATCTCATGTTTTGTGATTTGATTTTTATGACTTGTCCAGCCTGCGTCAGACTACAAAATGGATCCACGCTATACAAGTCGGCTGCCTTTCGAAATCAGCCCAATAATACAAACGTGTTGAAAGGATGATTGAATGCGAATGGGCATATTTAATCTGTTGTATACACTTTGTAGCCTTCTTTGTGTTTCTCTCCTCCATCAAATGTCGATCAATCAATGAACATTCGTTATTCTTTTAGACTTACATTGTCTTTCTTTTTTTGGCGCACTTTAATATTTGCTCTATCATTTTTCGCCCTCCGCCATTTTAATAACTCTATTTTTTACGTATTAATGCTTTGTATTTTGACTCTCTTTTTTAGCTTATTCTCGCGAGATGTTATTAATTTCTTAATGTCTCTTAAAAAGGTTATAACGTCAATTTTTTTATTTTTTTATAACGTTATTTTCCTTGTTTCTGATTCTCTCGTCCATTCTTTCTTTCCTTTCCTGTAATTACGATTTTATTTTCGATTCGTTTATATTATTTCTTTCTCATAATTTTTGTCTTTGTTACTATTTTACTTTCATCACATCCTTTACTTCATTCATTCCTCTTACTTCTCTACTTACTTCATTTTGTTTTTTTCTATATTCGTTCGTTTCTTTCTGCTACATTTTTTCGTCATATATTTCCTTCAGTCGTGGTTTATGTAGATTTCGTTGTGTTCTTTAAAATTGTTCTTTTCCATTTCTCTCTTATTTACTTGTCCCGTTATTTATTCATTTTTTGTTTTAGTAATATCTCTCCTTTCCTTTAGCTTATTCCTGCATATTCATGTAATAAAATGTCCCAAATCCATATCTATCTATCTATCTATCTATCTATCTATCTATCTATCTATCTCTGTCTATCTATCTATCCTATTTATCTATCTATCTAAATCTATATCTATCTATCTATCTATCTATCTATCTATCTATCTATCTATCTATGTATCCTATCTATATCTATCTATATCTATCTATCTATCTATCTATCTATCTATCTATCTAAATCTCTATCTATCTATATATGTATCTATTCTCTCTATCTCTCTCTCTCTCTCTCTCTCTCTCTATATATATATATATATATATATATATATATATATATATATATAGTATCCAAATGTAACAGAGCGAAGAGTAAAATTTCAGCGATGAAAACATTAATTTAAAACAGGGCTCAATACAAAGTAGAGCCGTAAATATTTATTTATTATGCAGTGTTACATTAGAACATGCACATGCCCATTACAGAACTGTACATCTTGTTTCAACGTTAAAAAAATATTACGTTTCATCAGGTGGAGAATCACAATGCTACTAAAATCTTTTAGGTTTTAGTAGCATCGTGATTCCCCACCTGATGAAACGTTAAATAAAGATTGTTTTAACGTTGAAACAAGATGTACAGATTTGTAGTGGATGTGTGCATGTTCTAATGTAACACTGCATAATATATAAGAGACGAAAGACAATGCCGAAAAGCGTTAGCAAATTTTCAGGTTTTTATGTCCCGAGATCCGCGCTGTTGCAGAACATGTGGACATCTATGCAAATCAAGCGAGACAAAAGTGTCAGATACGATACAAGTATAAAAGAAAATGAATGCAACATTTGTGGACTTTAAACTTTTCCGTTGCAAGAGCTGGTTATGTTGCAAGAATGAGTGATGACAGACTACCTAAGGTCCTCATGAATCGCCAGCTTGACACTGTACAAATGGACTGGTCGACAGCTGTGGACCAGGTATAAAGAGAAGCAAAAGAGTAACCTCTCAACTATCAATGTTCCTCATGCTAACTTCGAGCGAGTTGCCCCGGATAGAAATACATGGAGATTTCTGTGCCTGTTTTATATCCGAAATTTTGAAATCAGTCGTATTTACCGGCTAAGAAATGAAAGACAACGGCGAAAATCCTTAGCAAATACCCCTTCTGCTATGTCCGGAGTCCCTGGCTGTTGCACAATATATGTATTTCTATGCGGGTCACTAGTGGAACTAAAGTATCACGTACGACACAAACAAAAACGTGAATTAGGTTTTTGGATCCACATATGTCGAAATCGACGGGAGAATCCATCATACATATATGCACACAGACATATATATATATATATATGTGTGTGTGTGTGTGTGTGTGTGTGTGTGTGTGTGTGTGTGTGTGTGTTTATTTATGAACTATTTATGAAATGGAAGTCCGGCAATTATTTTAATAAATTTATTGTTTATACTTTATTTTAATAGATACAAATATTTAATACAACCTTGCTACTCAGACGCTTCCTCTATAGCTAAATAGTGTAGCATGTCAGACTATATATTAGAAAAGTGTGTATATGTATATATTTATATATGTCTATACATACACACACACACACACACATATATATATGTATATTCATATATATATATATATATATATTTAAATTAAATTACCAACAAACCACACGAACAAATTAACCCCACGTGCAACTGCAGAATAAAGAACGAATGTCCCTTAAACGGAAATTGTTTACAAAACAACGTAATATACCAAGCCACGATAAAATCACCAGATAATGAAAAAAGTATACATAGGAGTAACTGAAGGACCCTTGAAACAAAGAAATTATACACACAAATCATATTTCACAAATAGTAAATATGCGAAAAGAGCACAATGCTTTCTAAGTATATCTGGGAAATTAAAACAAAACACATCACACCAAAAATATTTTTGGAAAATAAGGAAAAAGATCATTAGCCTACAACAACCAATCAAAAACTTGCAAACTTTGCTTGGAGGAAAAAATAGCTATCATTACTTTCCCAGACCAAAATAAATTATTAAATAAAAGATCCGAGCTCATCTCAAAATGCAGACATGAAAACAATTCTTACTACGTTACTTAAAAATTGAAAACGGAAAAAATAAAATAAAAACAAATAAATAAACAAAATAACAATAAAATAAGCAAAATTAATTAATCCAAACAAATTATCAAATCACACCTGTTAGAATAGACGAAATAGAATAATAATAATAATAATAACCAAAAAAAAACTCAAATAAATAAAGTAAATAATAAACAAAGTAGCAAACCATTGTGACCACAATTTTTTAGTTAAAACTATAACAAAAAAAATCGGACGAAAAATAGCTAAAAAAAAATAAAATAGAATAAAATAAAAATAAATAAATGAAATAAAATAAAATAAAAATAAAAAATAAGTAAGTACTACGTTACTTAAAAATCGAAAACCGAAAAGAAAAATACAAGTAAAATAAATTCACCTAAATTCATTTAAGTAAATAAATAAACAAACCAATCCCGATAAAGTTACCGTTAGAAAAAAACAAATAAAGATAATCAAACCAAATAAACACAAATTAAAAACTGTTCCTGCCAAAATAATAGTTTAAATAAACTACAACAACCAACCCCAAAACCGAACAAATAGCTTTAATTAAATTCTCAAAACAAAACAAAACTATTAAATAAGTGATATAAACAAATTTTTACTACGTTAATAAAAACACCGATAAAAAATAAAATAAATAAATAAAATAAGAAACAAAAAATAAAAATAAATAAAAACAAGCCAAATAATATAACCCAAATAATTAAAAAAATGACTTCCGGTAAAATAACCGCCATAATAGACTACCCACAATGCACCACTGACCCGTATATATATGAATAGCCGAGAAAAATAACAGCACACGTGGCCTGACGATTGCATATAGCATGAAACAGACTGTCGCCTCTCAGTGTTGACTTCTATGTTCAATTTTATATTTACACACGCTCTATCTCTGATATTGAGCACACTATCCCATAAATATAGTACACCTTAAGACTATATTTCTTCATATATATATATATATATATATATATATAGATAGATAGATAGATAGATAGATAGATAGATAGATAGATAGAGTGAGAGAGAGGAGACAGAGAGAGATTCTTAGGATGTTTCTCAGAAAATGTAGGTACATTATGCCGATGAATTAATTTTGAAATGACACAATAATAATTATAATAATAATAAAAAAGAAATACAGAATATAAAAAGGTGTTTATCTATGTATTTTTTTTAATTAGTATATATATATATCTATATAATAATAATAATAAAAAGAAATACAAAATATAAAAAGGTGTTTATCTATATATTTTTTAATTAGTATATATATATATATATATATATATATACGAGAGTTTAGCCCCAAATATGCATAGGTAATTCTCCTATCTGTCTACATTTCTGAGATGAGGTATTATGTACATTATTTACATTATTCGGACTATTGTCCTCATCATTGTTACCATATTTATCACAACGTTTTGGCCGTTGTTCGCTTCGGCATTATTCAGGTGGTTGGAATGTCGAACTGAACACTTTATTTCGTTCGTTGCGGTAGACTGTTCTAATGGATGTCAGCTATCACTTATCTCCTGTTAATTTCCCTTTCCACGTTCTCCACTGCCTTAACCAGTTATTCAACTCACAACTCTTTGTGTCCTGTCACTGGATGCAACTAGTGCCTTTATCCACTGTACCATATGTTCTTAAAGACTTTTGTGTATAAATTTCTGGGAGTTATAAAATTAATGTCTTCAGCTACCAATGCTTATATTTTAATTTTTTGCTCTTATCATTGGATGTTATTTATGAGAGCTCATATTGCAATTTTCGTTGTTATTATTGCTTTTTTCTTGTATTCCTTATTGCTGGTTCCCATATTGTATTCATTTCTATGATTGGTCGGCTCAGGAGATTTTTGTCGCCTAGCAGGCCCTTAAGTTAATTTTCCAATGATGTACTTTGTCTATGATTTCAACCTGATCCGGCAAAGGGCGGTGATCTCCCTTTTTCCGCCATATATGATCAGCGACGCCTGATTTTTCCACTTCCCCTCGTGTTACAGCTTTTTGGTGTTCTTGAAGCCTTACCTTAAGAGGGTGACCTGTCTCCCCTTTATATTTCTTTCCGCAGCTGCACGGAATAAATATGGCAACAAAGATGAGGACAATAGTCCGAATAATGTAAATAGTCTAATTCCCTACATTGCTATCTTTTACCTAAATGCCGGGGAGGTTTTATTATCTCTCAGCTGCGTCTCTGTCTTCGGGATGAGTGCGACTCATTTGTAGCTTCGGCGGAGGCCTAACTGAGAAAAATAATACAGCCCTGGGGGACAGCTGCCAGAGGCTGCACCCTCTGATTACACTAGAGAGGGCGAACGGTGCTCGCCACCGAGGCCGGTGCAACCGATGGTTGCTGTGTCTCAGGAATTTTTTGTACCGGGCCCAGGTAAAGGGTACTCGGATTCCCCACAGTAATCCCGACCTTGTGTTACATCAGCTCTCAGTGAGGAAACGAGGTAAATACCTATAGACACCAGGGGCGACTTGGTAACTGGGGGCATAAAATTAATCTCTGGCAAGATTATACCACACAGATTAATAATAGTAATATAGGCCAATAACCTGCCTGTCCCTATTCGCCAATTCTTATGAACTCAGCAATAATAATTGTGGATAGAAAATAAAGAACGAAGTTTTTAATCACTTATTCTACATAGATGAGCTCAAACATTTTCCAGTGACGGCATTGGAAAGGTCTACTTTATAAGGTACATTTTTACGCCCTTGTGCAAATTAATTGAAACGACCGCTTTAGTTTCTTTTCTGTCAATATACAGCAAGTTTTAGACCCACTAGAGTTCCGGGTGTAATCGATTTCTATCTTTTCCTCAGATTAGACCATTTGCAGTGGTTTGCAGTAATATGAGTCTATTTTCGAATGTATGATGAAATGTGTTTGACATTGAAAAAGTTTGCCTCGTCCGTGATTGCAGCAGATTTTCATCACGCCCTGACACTATTTCCTCGACTGTCGATTAGTTTTCCTACGGTCGTTGTCTGCGATGAAATTACTCCGAGGAAATCTACGATAATTGTAACGCTGCACGAACACAATGACAAGCCTTACCAGTGAGCAAATCAAAGTACTATCGACTGGCTTTGAAATTCTCCTG